GTTTTCCATCTGGTGTGGGTGAGTGATAGTCTACTTTGATTTTGGTTAAGGTAGATTATCATTTACAGTGTAATCAGTGAGGGGATTCTGCAGACTGTTGAGGGTTCAGCCTCCTGATGAGTCGGTGAAACTCCACCGAAACAGTTTGTCACAGCCCCTCGTTTGTTGTCCTCTTCTCTCTCTCTGCCTACGGTTTTACCGGGCAGTTCTGTTTGTGACGTATATCGTCAAACAGAACTGCCCGGTAAACCGTAGGCAGAGAGGGAGAAGAGGACTATATATATATATAATTTGGCCGTAAAATCCACCAGAGTCACCGAATACATCCAATAGAGTGCCCTGGGGCCAAGTCCCAGTTACGCTGATTCTTCGTTTTTGGCTGTCGATCTTGCTAATCGAAGGTCGGGAATTGAGAGTTAGGTAAGTGGGACTTGGCCCCTGGAGCATACCATGGTGAGCATACGGCGTCCTTAGGACTGACTCCCAATGCTCAACTTGATATGCTGCATATGGAAATAAAAAGTCTGAAAGAAATGGGCAAGAGAGTGCCCAAATGGGTTAAAAAAAAACTTTAAACAAGTCTCAATTTGGTCACACGACAGAAATTTCAATTTCAAATTTAGCGAAATCATCGAAACATCTGCTCTTTTATAACGTTATGTGTTTTTTCTTTGCTTATTCGTAACTCGAGCCATGGCTGAGCCGTAGTTGTTTCAATTTTTTTCTTTTTCTTCCCTTTCTGAGTTAACATCTGGTGGACAATCAAGGGCCCAAACATCCATCCATGTCTAAGATTACGATCAGCAAGTTGATTACGTAAAAACCGTCCCCCTTTCAAAGAGGCAAAACAAAAAGAGAAACAATCGGGTGCAATAAAGCAAGGTGCTGAGAATTGTTTAGGAAAGGAATAAACTTCAATATAAAGTGAATAGAGCATGGCAACCAGCCGGACGTCTCGACCGGAATCCAGATGGTCCGGTTGTCTGGGTATGGGTCCGGTGTCTGGTCCGGTAGGTCTGGATTGGGCCCAGTTTTGAAAAATTCAATTTTTTGGGGGGGGTGGCCTAAGACGTTTTTCGGGTCCTTGGCCGCCCCCAAAAAATGCCCCCGGTATTTTTTGGCCGTTTCAGGGCCTACCGGACTCCGCCAGACGCTTCCAACAGCTCCCTCTGCTGTTGTACTACGCTGGTAGTTCATCGGATGAGGATGAGTCTGGTTCCAAAAATGAAGCATTGGCTGCAAAGCACCACAAATTATCAAGCTAGAGAGAGAGAGAGAGAGAGAGAGAGAGAGAGAGAGAGAGAGAGAGAGAGAGAGAGAGAGAGAGAGACGATTTTGGTCAGATCTGAGATCCCGACCAGATCTCATATCTGTTCTTAGTATTTCTTAAGCAGATCTGAATAACTTAACAGTTTAAATTTTCAATTTTCAAATGAATATGAATTAGAAAGTCTAACTTTCAGGTTCACATTCTGTTTCTTTCTGATTTTCCTTTTCTTTTCTGAAGTGACTTGGGATTGGTCTGTTGAGAACTGGTTTCAAGCATAGTTGCGGCGCATTGAGGTGCGCGCCTCAGCGCACGTCTGGTGCACCTCGCGCATCGCACCCGATGCGA